CTGAGTGGGTTAAAACGGGGATTTCTGACAAAATCGTTTTCAGGCATTTTTTGGCATTCGGAAGGCCATTTAGCGGAAATGGACCATAGTTTTATACTCAGTGCTCATGCCCCTATACCATGCAAAAAACCATTTTCAAAAAGCGTTCCACGCCCTGAAAGGCCTTCCTTGTTAGTGTTCGGATTGCTGGCACACAAAACTGGCAACAATCGACATAGCCCGGAGAGATCGTGAGTGGGCTTGCGATTCGATGACGGTGAATGAGTTTTCTCAGCTTTTAACAGCTTCCATAATCGGGCATCTGGACGTACAACTATTTTGTTGCCTTGTTCAGCTGTTTCGCCATGGAAGGGACTCGCGGTTGGATTCAACAGGAGAACTGATTCAGATCGGAATCCTCTTCTATTGAAATGAAGTAGATGCCAATTGCTAAGCACATAAACCTATGAAGCATCGCTTTTCTTAGCTGCTCTCACAATCAGCGCTTTTCTCGAAGGCTTTGGTTTCCTCACTGATTCTGCCGATATTCACCCAAACCCTTAACCAATGGAATGAGTTCGGTTTCCGTAACTCATACGAATAGGCTCATTTTTCTAGTGCTCAACTACTCAAGTCATACGAGTCCTCGAACGAGAACTTATAGCGGCACCCTCAAAAGCACAGTTCACCATAATTCGAGCGGCGCGGAAGCTAAAGCTTTCACAGTTCACGATAATTCGAGCGGCGGGAAGCTAAAGCTTTCCCGCCCCTCGATCGATGTCACGTCAGACAAGTGCCAAGACAATACAGATTGCAACTATTCGTTCCAGGACTCACACACAATCAGCTGATCGCCAAGTGATGAGGCGATGTTTTTCTCCCATTCTTTTTTCCTCTATTTTTCTTTTTGCTGCCGCGATCCCTTATTCAACTTCCTACTCGTAGAGGCTGAAAAAGGCTCGATTTTTCTGGTATCATTCTCGTCCAGCCCCCTTTTTGACGATTTCTCGAAACCGTTTTCACCTTGGGAACACCGATTCACGCAGTTTCTTCACCTTCATCGCACTTTTGCGATCTTGTCTTCCATTTTTCATCATAATCTGGGTTACCCAGAATTGTGCCTTTAACTATTGTTTCTGCGACTCTTTTGCACCTGTGTCTCATGAAACGATCTTTCTTTGAGTTTTTTCAATGCCCTTGCTACAACTGATATATTCAAGCCTTGTATTTCAGGAACAAGTTGCAAGAGGTTTTATGTTCATTCATAATAATAAATATTAAAATCTCTCGAAATGTACATAAATTAGTGATATCTTGTTGATGGTTCGGTTTACTTTCCGCATCCGCATGGTGAAGGCGGTGGAGCACATCCGCATCCTCCGCCTCCGCTTGGCAGTGAGATTGATGGCAGTGAGATTGGAGGGAGCATGGGAGCGCCACTGAAAGGCACGATAGTTTTTCTCTTATGAGTTTCGAGATTTCAGCAATTATGAATGAATACTCACCCTCCACATCCACAAGGTGGTGGAGGTGGTGGAGGACATCCGCAGCCACCGCCGCCGCTTCCGAACAAGATCGCTGAGGTATTGCAGATGAGCAGAGCAGATAGAGCGGCGAACAATGCAAATCGAGCCATATCTAGATTGCAAAACTTACAAGTAGTTTTTATCAGTAGTTTTTAGGCCAAGGCTCGGTCAGAATAGTAAAACGAAAGCTATGAACAGTTGTTTTCGGATGAAAAGAGGTGACAGATTTGGCCAACTCTGCTCAAAAGACCATAGAAGTTACACCTGTAAGAAGTTCTTTTATAAACTATCACGGAAGAAAGGTAAGATGTAGGCTATTGAGGGCGATCTCATAGTGTGAAACCATGTTTTTATACGTATAGCTTATCGGACTGTCCTTGTTCTTAGCGGGTTTACGGCGATAAGTCGGATAGCGCCTACCTGAATATGAGTTTCATGAGCGGATAATGGTCACGAGTTCAAGATTTATTACCAGGAACTTGTTCCCGGATTCCATATTTCGGTTCCCAAAGTAGTTGTTCCTCTCTAAGAAACCCTTCCAGCTGATAAAGGCAATCGGGAGGAAAATTGGTGAAGTTTATTCCGAATCTAATTGCACCCACAATTGTTTTATTGGAATTTTGTTCTTTTTCAATTATTGCGAATTAGTTTTTCATCTTATGGAAAAATATGAATGGGAAGCTATCAATGTTCTTGAAAACCCCAAGATATCTCAACAGAACACAGAAACACATCGCGCATTCCAATTGCATTCATCACTGATCGCGCATCAGCCACAGTTTCACAACCCAATTAGGATCAGTTCAGAAACACGCCCCAAGGTGTAATGCATAGGCAGATGCAGGATGGCTCAAATTCACAAGTTAAGGAGGAATTAAATATTTTCTTTTTTATTTCGCTTAAAATATCATTCTTCAGATTCATGTGCTAAGAGAGTGAGATCCACAGCATCGTCCCATCACTGACAGCGATCTGTTAGTAAAAGGAAGGACCATGGAGCAGCTATAGCCTCAGAAAAAATCAGGAGAGTCCGCCTGAAAAACAAGCCACTTCCGAATTTTTCTGAAAATGGGTTTTCTCATTTTCTGGGTAGCGTGCTGCCGCCAATCTTGCCTTGTAAGGAAATCTGTGAAAAAATGCCTAAAATAGGCCAAAATATCAGTTTAACGTAAGTTATGAGTGAAAGGGTTCCCGCTGATGTTTCTCATCTGTACTGGATATAGAAGGACCTAGTTGAAAAGGAAGTGGGTAATTAGCACGTAGAATCATTTTATGAAGTTGTGGAATAGATGTTTCTTGCGGGTACCCTTAAGATGGTTGTTTTTCCTCATTAAGGATGATGAGAAGAGCTCTCTAAATCACTGGCTATTTGGCTAGAGCGCCATCTAAGGAGATGTAAACGGCAAAGCTCGAAAGAACGGTGTGCAGTTTGTCACAGGCCCCTCAAACAGTCAGGGAATGCTGATGAGTCTGCAGACATCAGCAAAACCCACCGCTGCTTAGCCAATTTCTCATCAGTGAGATTTTCAAGAAATGAAAACTGCAGTATCCCAATCTGAACCCGCAACTAAATCTTATCCCGAGGGCGAGGGTGGAAGTGGTGTAGTATGAAATGGCGCACTATCACACACGCATAGTCGCGGACTCGAATCTTGGATGATATCCGCCTGAACTAATCAAGCCTCCATCCCTCCGGGGTTGTTTAATTGGTACCAGGCTCGTCTGGAAGGATAAAAGCACTGGCTTGTACCTCGGCTAGCAGCCGCAATTCATTGTATAGGTCACATACGTACTCAACACATCCCTGCGATTCTAAATGGCAGTCTGACGCGTTGGCGCATCCTCTGACAGGGTTGATCAACTCCGGAAAACTTTCAGACTTCGAGCAGAAATCGAACGCATGCCTACTTTGAACCAACTAGAGGTTCTCTGGGAATTTCACTTGTATTGTCATTCTACACCTACGGGTTCTTACTATACGATATGTGTACCTGCCAGCGAAGTCCTTCCATTACCGCTATTACCAAATGTGAGATTAGTTGTTTTCCACGACTTCATTTCGCTGCTTTAACTTCTGCTGCTATATCATTTTAGCCTCTGAGAGTAGAATCCGAAATAAAAGTTGCCTTTCGAATAAATTTCGTTTTTTCTAAAGCCGAGGAACGTGACATGGCCAAACCTCAACTCGAAGTAAGAGCAAAGCAAAATCTTCACTTCTCGCTAATTAGTCAGTGCAGTCAAGCTTCCACTTCCACTGCAACTAATTTCTAGCAGGTCCATATGGCGAATTATAAGGCTGCCTTAGAAATGAATTGTTTTTTGCGGATAGATACCCTTTCAGACACTTCCACTGTGCCGAATGGACGCCGAAGAGAAGTGCAAACGCCCAGCGTTCCTGAAAAAAGCTTCATCAACAGCATGCCTTCTTTTCCTTATGCTTTAGACTTGATTAGTTTTCGTTTTCACGGCATTATGAGTGACACCTCTGCACTGCTCTACAGAAACCGCTTCAGCCCTGCTAGGAGAAATGCTCGTCGTGCATTCCGGGTATCAAAATTCCTAGAAAGGGCATGAGAAGCGGACCAGTAATTGCCCACTTCCATAGCTTGTATTCCGCTATTACGTCTCTTCTCTTCACCAGACTCTTTTGCAAATATGGTTCCCGTATCAAAGGGTTTTTTCCGGACAGCTCTACAAAGCCCGAAGGCCACTTCAGTAAAAGCTGAACACAAATGGAACTCTGGAGTGCTGTCAAATACAATCAACCGGAAGTGCATTGAAATTGGGTATGCCGTCTGAGAGAGTGCACAAAATCTCGACAATGTGCCCATCTTCGTTTATGAACGCAATTCGCTGGAATGATAAATGTACGCAACTTTGTATTCTACACATACGGCTTCCATGAACCTTGGCATGGCGGCGGAACATTCCTACAGAACTGGATGGAGGCAGCAAACCGAGCGGTGAAATTCGTGGTGATTAAAACGGCTCTGGCTCCTATCATTGGGGCACAACTTTGAAGTGGGGTAGAAAAGTACCATCAGCTGGCCCTACTCATCCAATCTACTTGGAATCCGTGCCCCAATGATAGGCGTCAAAGCCGTTTTAATCACCACGAATTTCGCCGGTTTGCCGCCATCCAGTTCTGGGTGAATGTCCCATACCCACTCTGGCATAATTGTAGCTTGCTGTGGTTCGTGTCGTGCGTGTCATGAGGGTCTCGAACTACGGTAGGATCGTGGAGACGTCTGATTGAATATCCACAATTGCTTTCGATCCATGCCTGGTTCTGAAGAAGGGGATACCGCCGAAACGTTAGCTAATAAAGTTTTGTTGACAACCTCGTCAGAGTTCATGCCACACCATGCTACGGTCTGTAATCTACCATGAGGTCTACCGTAAGGAAGCGGAAGCGTTTTCCGGCCAATCCTCCCAGTGTACGCCACGCAGTAAAATTTGGACCAAATTTGCAGATTAATGTGGTTAAGTATTCCTCCTACATATGTAATGAGAAGCAAGGAATTGGCTGATTTCGAGCTCGTGTCCTGCCCACATTTAGCCAGGTATCATTTATGCATGTGAATGATGCTGTTAGACTGCAACATCGGTCCAAAAGGAATGTTTACGAGTGTTTCGTAGTCTCTCTAATCAATATGAATTCATCACCTGGCATACAATAGTGGTTTGACCGATGCATGACCGAGCATTTGCTTGAACATACTTCCCAACAATACTTTCCAATTTTGAAGTGCTTTTGGGATGAACTTAGCCTAAAATGTCCATCTTGTTCGATTGAGTGATGTATGATTCTTTAGGCAAACTTTGCAGTCGACATGTTGAATCTATCGAATATAGACTGTAGCTTCAGAATTCCGGAGAGGTCGAGATAGACAGTATAAATCGCAAGATAAATGCTATACACCTGAAAAAGTAGTGGTCTAGGCCATTTTATATACAGACCTCTTCTTCGGCTTTCGTGGAGATACGGCACACAATGTCTAATACTGCTTAGACAGGCTACATTATTGTAGTAAATCAGCTTTGTTCGGTCAACGACTCGAACGGATCCAGAAGGAGGGTTGAAGGCCTAAAATTTATTCAATGTTTCTGTCGACTTGGAGATTGCCGCTTATTTTGTATCTTACGACTATCGGTAAAGTCCCATTCGTCCTCTGTTGTTCGCATATGAGAGAGTGTTACGTGAGCGCTGGTGGAGCTGCAAAAGGTCAGTCACTTCTCGGAATCTTTGGGTTCAAGTTTCCAGGAGATGCTTCAAATGGCTTAGCGCGTTGGGGACCTGACTGGGCCATAGAGGGCTCCCAACCACGGACCCTTGACGACAGCGATTGGTTTAAAATATCGACCAAATAAAGCGATTCTACTATAACAAACCTATCTGGCTAAGCAGTACAGGACACACTTTTTCGTTGTCGAGCCGCAGCTTTGGAATACCTTCAGAGCTAGTGCAACTAACGCTCTGTGTGTCGAGGATCAAATCTAGGATTGAAAACAGCTCGACCATTCTCCTAGGTCAGTTGATCGGTACCAGAAATGTCTAGGAGGACAATAGCACTAACTTATACATGCTGCCACTACAAAGTCATTGTATGGGCTACATATACATTCAAAATGCAACTACGATTCTGAATGGAAGTCATATGCACGGCCGCATCCCGAAATATTTTTATAGAAGTAGCAAATCTCTCGAAAGCTTCGCGTTCTACTGCGAAAGCAAGAGATTAGTCCCTCTTCAACCTTGATAGAAGCAGTGGGAGTGTAAAGAGAATACTGAACACTAGCTAAAGCTGCGATTGCAGTTGCTCCCAGAGGCAATTCCAATGTTATGAAACTCCAGTTCTTTCAGTTGGCTGACCACGTATGTTTACGCAACGGCACAGTTGCGTTGATGTCGATGGGAAGCCTTCTCAGTGCTTTCGGGCCCCTTCATTTTTTTCCAATTAGGAATGTGAACATGGAGTGTCACTGCTTTTCAAAGTCGAGTATTTATCGACCGCCTGAGGGTGGAGCGGCGCGCGCTCCGTGAGATCGATCTCAGTCACTGTCGTCGGCAACGACGTCATCGCTCCCTCAGGCTCGGCTCGTCCCATGC